TGAGCCCCCTGCCGCACCCTGAGCCCCTCACACAGTCTGCACCCCTGCCCTGAGCCCCCTCCTGCACCCCAAACCCCTTCCCAGAGCCCCCTCATACACCCCGCACCCCTCCTCTGCCCCAATCCCTTGCCCTGAGCCCCTTCCTGCACACCGCACCCCCTCCCACACCCTGCACCCCAACCCCCTGCCCCGACCCTGCATACAATTTCCCCACCCAGATGTTTGCCCACTCCGGTCTAAAGCCATGTCTACACTACCACTTATGTCGGCAAAAACGTTGCTCAAGTGATTCAGATCAAATTAAACTGTCCCATGGCAAAGAGTGCAAACTAATTTCCTTTTATTTGTAACCAGAGTCTAATTGCATTTGCTCAGGTTTAAGTTTTCAAAAGTGCCTAAGTCAATTTACTCTGACCAAACATTAGTTAATTTGCTGGTGCAATATGATTTTAGGGTTCAGGAAGTGTTGGGTTAAGAGGATTCTGAGTGAAACACTTTCTGATCAATACAGTTTGAAATGTGCACCTAAAAATAGCATATGTATAGTATATGGTTATGAGCACAATAGCAATAGTGTAGTTGAAGTAAGAAGATAATTTACTGTACATACCAAGTATACCATTTTTAAAAATTAACTACTTTAATTAAAAGTCCTTTCCCAGCCAAATTTAGCAACGACTGCAGTTGTCACTCATGTCTCATGTCAAGTCAAAAGTTATGTAGTTCATCCCTGAGTTATTTCAAAAGTTGATTTATTTGCTAAGTAGAAAAGCTATTCCCTCCACCAATAATTCAAAATGACTGAATAGAATTTGTTCAAACCTTCTTTTAAAATTCACTTTTGGAAAAGTTCTGGTGTGAGAAGATTCAGCACAATTTTGAGGATGTTATGGGAAAATGAAGGGTGGTTTAGAATGGAATTATCTTCTTCAACTACACTATTGCTACTGTGCACATAACCATATACTATAGCTGCATTGCAATTTGGAATAATAGTCTTTTTATATGATATTGCCTGTCATAAAAAGGAGTTAACAGGTTGAACGAGATAATTTCTAATTAAACTATAGCTTTCTGCACTCCCTATCAAAAGGCATGTTCTGAGGTCTTTTGGCGATCTTCTATTCATGTTTTAAATACCCAAAGCATTCATACCAACCAAGGAAATATACACTGTATTGTGGCTTGCTCCTTAAATGTCATTATGAAATCCTCTTTTAATAAAGGTGCAGATTTTTTGAAGGGGACTTTTAATTTGCTAGATGGTTTTCATTTGCTATCTTCATACAGCTTCTTTTATAAGCTCAGCCAGCCTCTGAAAAGCCTACAATGAAAGCAAGATGGTTAATGTTCACATCCCAGCATTAGATAAGCAGGAAATATGCTAAATCTTAAGTAGAATTTCTGAAACTATTTTAACCACAGGGGAACCCAGCTGTATGAAGTCTTAGAACTTTATTGTAAAGCTTCGTGTTCCCTATTCAATTTGATATTAATAGTGCATTAAGTGTTCAAGAAAGTGAGGAGAGCTTCCACTTAAATAATCTGGCATGTTCTTTCAACATAAAAAATTAGAAGAAAAGATGGAGTTCTTCTGAAACAGAAGGACAAATATATGAATCGACAAGAGTACTGTTATGTCACCTCACGGCATCTATAATCTAGTGGGCATTAATGAAGCCTAGCAGAAGGATTTTCATAACTGCAACAGTAACACAGAGGGGTATAATCTCATACAGGAGAGAGAAAAGGAGGAAGAGAGGTGTTATATATCATGTGCAATGCCAGCAAGATGCATTTTGACTAGAGACAATATGATTGTGAAATTCTTTAGGTAATGATGAAGGGATGACCAACAAAGGAGAAGCATAACTAGACATCAGCTACACACCTTAATGACTGAAGTAAAGTAAGACCAAAGACATGGGAAAATTCTCAAGGCACCTGAAACAATGGAACGCTATACTCTGGGCAGCTAATTGCTCCCCACTCCCTCTATACAATGATGTGTACTCAATCACAAATAAAACCATTATATCCAAGATGTTCTTAAATAACACAGATTAGTTCCGAAATCATGAAGTATAGAGAGACTGAATTAGAGGAGAGACCATCTCCAATGTGCTACTGACTACTCAGGAGAAACTGAATGTGAGAATAATGGGGAAGCCTGATACTGGTCATCTTGAGCTAGTTTAATAATAAGGAATCGGTACACAGAAAACAGTGGAGTAAAGGGAATTAGATTTGAGGATGGCACACTTTGGGAAATAAGACAGGTGGTTGCTCCTATTCACACTAAATGAGTAGCTACACTTGCACTGACTTCAGTGACAGCTGCATCAGCGAGTGAGATCTGATGGGAATAAGTAAAATTGAAGAAGGCAGGTGCATCTTAAGAGACACTAAAGGTTCAGCACACTACAATTCTTCTAGATAAGAATATGTGCAAGGAACAGTTAAGAAAGTTTCAGAAGTACTGCTCAAACAGTACTTATCAAAACAAACAAACAAACAAAAGCCAACTGGAAATGGAAAAGAGAGAGATAACTATACAATATAGAGATCTGGTTAAAATGTGTAGGGAAAAAGTAAGGGAGCAAAACAACAATTACTGCATGAGGAATATTCTTTTCAGGAACGTACAGCAAATCATACTGCACTCACCTGATCCATCTGGGCTGGAGAAGACAGAGAGAAAGAAGCTCTGACATAAGAACTAGGAACTGAGCTATCAATGTTAAATGCTCCCCCAGGAACCAGTAATACCTAAAATAAATTGATTAGCCATTTAGTTACAAATTTCTTCTTAATTTAAAAAAATATTAAATAGCTCATTGCTGAATAATGGTCTCACAAAGAGGGTTAATCCATTCCTTCCTTCCAAAAAGGGAAGGCAGACTACAAAAACTGGAATCAAATATTTCACAACAAAAAGACAGAACCTAGTTATTTGACTATAGGCACGTTCTATCTTATCATTCTCGTGCTTTATAAGTATCAGAGAAGTAAATCTCTAGTTTCCTTTCTGACTCATAAGCTAATGTCTTTGCGTAACACTTGTCTGTACAAATTATTGAATAAACTACACTTAATTTCTCTTATTAAAATAGAAACAATGGATAGTTAGGCTAGCTCTCTCTCTCTATCTGTTTTGAGGCTGAACTAAACAAACATATTAAAGATGTAGATTAACCATGCAGATATTTCATTAGTAAGGAGAGTTATTAGAATATGTTACTATATGCCTGTTCAAAATTTGCAGTCCTAATAATACACAGTTGGAGTTGCACTCAAATAGTAGTTTATTTAACCCTTCCCTCCCACTACATTTTAAGATCAGCAGACATTTTCCCTACTTCTTTCTGCAAAGCTTTTTCCATGATCAGCTGTTGTGTGTCAGAAACTCCCTTAATTTTAATCCATAGAAACATGCCAGCAGCAGGAGCATGCCAGTCTGCCAGACCTGGAGAGAGAAAACAGAAAAATCAAACAAAGATACGCTCTGTGCCTTCTGCAATGGATACACCAAACACACAAAGATAGGGTGAAATCCTGCCAACAATGAAGTCAGTGGGACTTTTGCCATTGATGTCAATGGAGCCAAGATTTTACCTGCAGAATTTAAGGTCCCCCCTGACTAAAGTAATACAGATGTAATTCAGTAATGCTGACACTACTTTGTTCTATGGTATTTTTGAAAATGGATGCTCTGGATTCTCTCTCAGTTGGATTACAGACTGCCCAATAGGTAAACTGAAGGTACAATGATAGGCTGATTTCTGAAAAAAATAACTAAACACATGTAATCAAAACATCCTTTTTAAATGCCAGCTCCTTTAGTACCATAATTACCATAAATGCAATCTTAATGTGTTGCATAATGTAGACATGGTTAGAAAGAGAATTTTTTTTCATTTTTTAGTTAAAATGTTATGTTTTTCCACATAAGAAAAGAAGGGAAGAACACAGAAAGGAATCTTACTGCTTTAGTCAGCAGTTTTACTGTACACATTCCCTTGTACCTCGAGGCAATCTTTGATTGTTTTTTGGCAGGACAATAATCCAAACACTCCTGATTTTTTTGGCTCCAGCTTTATTGCATGTGTACATTGTATGAATATGCTGGGTTGTTTGTTTCACTTGCCATCTGCCCCTATTCCTATTAGGTACATTTGATCATTACCAGCAGCTTAATTATAAACTACTCTATAGAATAAAGACCTCTCACAGAATACTCCAAAGCCTCAACTTGCTAGTTATGTCAATCTTCATAAAGTAAGAAGCCAGTTACTTCAGCAAAAGGAAGATTTTCATGCCTTTAGCCTTTTCTGCTAAATGGCTTTACCAGATTTATTTTAATTCTTTAGTTTGGCTGGATAGGTGAAGGTGAAGATACTCTTACGGGCCTCACCACCATGTATCTGAGCAGCTCCCAAAATTAACAACGAAAACTAACAAAATTCTCTTTCCTCTCCATGTACTGTAGCAGCTTGAAAGGTAGCAGAATTGCAAAAGGTATTTTTGTTTTGTTTTCTCCTTTTCTCTCACCCTCACTTCCCTCTATGACTAAACTGTGAGAAGAGTTGGTCAAATAAAAGGGGTTTGCATTTGGTTCTGAGTGCAGTGAGGCCCATGGTCACTCTTCGCTCTTGAGGGAGTGAGTTCCATGGGCAGAGAAGAGGGATGTTCCAGTGCTCAGGATGCTAGCTTGGGACTTGGCTGGGAGACCCGGGTTCAGTTTCCAGATCTAAGGTTATGTCTACACTAGAGACCTTACAATGGCTGTACCGATGCAGCTGCGTTGCAGTAAGATCTCTCACGCAGCTGCTCTATGCCGACGGGAGTAGCGGTGGCTATGTTGGCGGAAGAAGCTCTCCCGCTGACATAGTGCTGTGCACACTGCCACTTATGCCGGCAAAATATATGTTGCTCAAGGGGGTGTGTTTTTTCAGACCCCCTGAGTGACATAAATTTTGCCAACGGAAGTGGTAATGTAGACATGGCCTAAAACAGGCTTCCTGTGTTCTCTTGGGCAAGTCACCTAGATTATGTCTACACTGCAGTAAAAGATGTATTCTTAACTTGGCTAAAAGCAGCAAGGAAGACACATCAACTTGGCTTTTAACTCAGGTTAGCAGTTTGAGTTCAATCCCAGGCTTCCCTATAGGCTTTAGCTCGAGCTGTTAATCTGAGCTAAAAGCCCAATTGCTGTGTTTTCATGGGTATTTTAAGTCAAGTTAAAAACCTGTTTATTTATTTATTTATTTATTTATTGCAGTGTAGACTCTCCCAAAGTCTCTCTGGGCCTCAGTTCCCCATCCTGTAAAAGGGGGATAATAATGCTTCCTTACCTCACAGGGGAACTGTAAGGGTAAAGATGGTGAAGCTCTCAGATACTATAAAAATAGGGGGCATATAAATACCACAGATAGATGGGTTAGGTCCAGCTCCTGTGAAAGTTTCAGTTCCTGCTCTCACAAGTTCCTACCGGCTGACAGGTTCATGGTTCCAGTGGAACACAGCTGCTGCTGGAGATCTTGGTTGTGAAGGGAAAGGCAATCTCTTAGATAGCTATTGCCATGCCATGCTGGGCTCTGAATATCAGGACTCAGGTACTGATATTGACTGTGTTATTGTATCTCTCTATAAATACATCAGAGAGATAAATACCAGGGAGAGATAGGAGTTAAGTTCAGTGCCAATGTGGACACAAGAACAAATGGCTATAAACTGACCATCAACAAGGTTAGGCTTGGAATTAGCCAAAGTTTCTAACCATCAGAGGAGTGAAGTTCTGGAGCAACCGTCCAAGGGGAGCAGTGGGGGCAAAAAACCTAATTGGCTTCAAGCCTGAGCTTGATAAGCTGATGGAGGGGATGGTATGATGGGACTGCCTATGATGGCATGTGGCCCATTGGCGACCGTAAGTAGCAAAAATCCCCAACTGCTGAAGATGGGACACTAGATGGGGAGGGCTCTGAGTTACTAAAGAGAATTCTTTCCCTGATATCTGCCTGGTGGGTCTTTCCCACATGCTCAGGGTCTAACTGATTGCCATATTGGGGGTCGTGAAGGAATTTTCCCCCAGGTCAGATTGGCAGAGACCCTGGGGTTTTTTTTTTGCCTTCCTCTGCAGCCTGGGGCACAGGTCACTTGCAGATTTAAACTAGAGTAAATGGTGGATTCTCTGTAACTTGAAGTCTTTAAGCCATGATTTGAGGACTTCAGTAACTCGGTCATGGGTCTATTTGAGGAGTGTATGGGTGAGGTTCTGTGGCCTGCAATGTGCAGGAGGTCAGACTAGATGATCACCCTTCTGACCTTAAAGTCTATGAGAATCATGTTACTCCTTTGCACTGTGATTAACTATCACAATCTGTTACAACCTTGACAGCTCATCATGCACTATTTGTGCAATTCTTTAAAAATGTTTGTCATTAAGGTACAGCTTTATACGTAGAAAGAGGTACTGTAAATTAACAGGAGTCAGAGAAAAACAGCTTGAAAATATAAGCTGTGTTTGCATTCACTAACCTTTTAACCACTTGTCTGCTGCAGCAAGCATTGCATCTCGCTGGACCCTATAGAACTCCACTACCCTGGAGACAAACAATTCAAAAAATTTTATAGATAGATATAGAGAAAGATCCCATCTGAGCTAAATCCACAAATGGTTAGGTACAAATAACTTTATACAACTGCCATATGCCTATTACAAAACTGTGCAGATTATGTTACGCTGCCCAGTGCTGTGGGACCTTCAGATAACAGATCCTAACATTGTTCCAGTGCCCTGTGATGCTGGTAAACCAGGTGCCAGCTCTTGCCAAGTTTGTAGTTGTCAGCTGAGCACTGACAAAGTCATAGCTGAAAACCAAACCAGCTCATCTGTTTGCTAGTTTTGTTCAAAATAAGTATTAGTCTTATAAGAATGTATTTAGTGATTAGACTCTATGAAATGACTGTAAGTAGCTGCATGCATTAATATCAGTTGTAATGTCCGTAACCCATGCTATAAGGAAATATGTAAGTTTGGCTTTATAACTTTGAAAATGTTTGCTCTGAACTTGTGAACCCAGGCACAGGAATCATCCCCCCATACCCATTCAGGAGGCCTGTCAAGATTAAACCAGGCATTAAGGAACATCACAATACAAAGGATTGGTGGATGGCTCTATCACACCTTGGAACTGCTACATGCAAGGCAGTTACTCATGGGCTGGAAGGCTAAGTGTAGAAGATAAAAGATGGTCACAAGAAAATTGTTCATCTCTTTACTGTTTGAACACACAGGGCCAGGGACACTAAACTCAGGCAGAGATCCCTAGGGGCTACCCTTGGGTCCGCCCTGAAAGACATTTTGAATTGACAGATTAGTACATCTCTGTCATCTTTAGAAACCGTAGATGGCAACTCATTTGTGCATATGTTTGCTTGCTTTAACTTGTAAGTAAGTCTTATTTCTTTTTCCTAATTAATAAACCTTTAGTTAGTTTATTACAGGATTGGCTATAGGTAAAGCTATGATTATGCCACGGCGGTCACGGAAGTCACAGAATCTGTGACTTCTGGAGACCTTTGTGACATTGGGGCACCACTGCAGCCCAGCCACCGGCGGTGGTAGCAGTGGACCCTCCAGCAGCATCCCAGCTGCCACGTGTGGCAGGGGACCCCCACAACTGACCAGCCACCACCGGCGCTGCCCCCCAACTGCTGCGGGCAGTGGAGGGACTCCGGCAGTTCTCAGCCGTGCAGGAGGTGGGGTCCCCCCAGCTTCCAGCCCTGCAGGGCAGTGGGGGGACCCTGGAGCTCCCCAGCTGGTGGCGAAGGGACCCCAGCAGCTGCTCAGCTACCGTGGGCAGTGCCCTCCCCCCCAGCTCCCAGCCCTACAGGGCGGCTGGGGATCTCCCCCAGCTCCCAGCCACTGCGCAGGGGGCCGCAGCTCCTAGCCACTGCATGCAGCAGGGCAGTGTGCTGGAACCTCATTTTGTCAGGGATGTTTTTAGTAAAAGTCAGGGACAGATCATGGTTTCTGTGAATTTTTGTTTATTGCCCTGACCTGTCCATGACAAAATCGTAACCTTAGCTATAAGCATTGTTTTTGGTGTGAGATCTAAGATACAAATTGACCTGAGGTAAGTGACTGGTCTCTTGAGACTGGAAGCAACCTGAATATTTTGTGTGTTTGTGTGTCAGTCAGGGCCGGCTCCAGCATTTCTGCCGCCCCAAACAAAACAAAACAAAAAAGCCGTGATCGCGATTGCAATCGACGGCGGCAATTTGGGAAAAAAAGCTGCGATTGGTGGCGGCAGTTCAGCAGCAGGTCCTTCACTCCTAGAGGGAGTGAGGGACCTGCTGCCCCCGAATTGCCGCAGATGCCGCCCCTCTCCCTTGGCCGCCCCAAGCACTGCTTGTTAAGCTGGTGCCTGGAGCCGGTCCTGGTGTCAGTGACCATTTAACATTACGTCCAGCTTGTCTGGGTGGCAAGATAGACTGGAGAGCCCAAAGGGACTGTCTGTGACTCCATGTTATAGTGATCCGGGAGTTCACATTTGTTACTGGGTTGGTGAAATCTAATTATAGAACATACCACTAGTTTGGGGTGTCTGTCCTGTTTTAGACAGTCTGACCTAAGGCAGGCACTAACGGTCGTGAGTCACTCCAGACAGCGTGACACTCCCTTTAAACATTATACTTAGAGACATGACAGTAATTAAAAGAGAACCAAACCCCCACAATATAGTATATTGAATATAAGGGCACTACCTGTCTACGTGCTCCAGGAAACCCTTTTCTCCCCACTGCTGAAGAAGCTGTGCAATCATAAGCTACAGAAATAAAACCCACACAGTAAATCCCATTCTTTAAACAGGATAGTCAGCCACCAAACAAAAGCTTTTAAAAATGATATTAATATAATATTAAACATCCTGCAAGGGCAGAGGTCACATCCTTGGACTCCTGGAGCCATCTCTTCCTTTACCTTCAAACCCCTTGGTAATACAAAAAGTCCACCAGGAAACCGGCAAAGGGCCATTAGGAAGCCGGAGATATAGCAGTCCCATAAGGAAATGGAAATATTAGGGAGTCTGAAGGAAAGAGGAACGGATAGGGGAAGACAAATGTGGGAATTTGGAAAGGAAAGGGAGGGAAACATATACAGCTTTGAATTTAATACATGCTTATTTCCTTTATTAGTCTCCCCACTTTTATTCTATCTCCATGGTGAAATTGGGGAGCTGAAAAGAGGGTTGGGAGTGCAAAGTCTAATTTAAGCTCTGGGCAGAACTTTAGGGCTGACTGTGATAGAGGGGGGGCAGGGCTCAGGAATGGGTCAATGATGACCTAGTAGGCGGGGGGAGAGGGGAGGATATATTTCATTCTACCCTAACACACCCTTTGAGCACTGTCTGGAAGGGAAGGGGCAATAGATAGCATGCTACTTATACAGCACCAGCAGTGTTCACCAGTTCGCCACACTGACTTATAAGCACTGCACCAAATAAAAATTCCAAATCCTCTCCATTTATTCTGCAGCTCTTCAGGATGGGATTTTCAAAGGAGCCTAAGGCCATAGAGCACACAACTCCCATTGATCCCTAACTCTGTTAAGCCTTAATAACCTATTACATAAAAGTAAAGAGAGGCCTATACTTTGGAGCAATGTTTTTCACATCTATTAGAACACCCTCCAGACAAACCTTGGTCTTCCTCTCTGCGTTGTTCTTTCTTCCCTTGGAAGAATTTGTAATATAAATTTTCCTGAAAGCCATGCTGAAAAAATGGCCAAGGATTATAAAAGCCTTTTTGCCCCTCCTCTCAGGGAGTTTGAAAAACCATTTTATTTTTATAAATACAATTCGGGTAACACCTTCCCAATTCTCGGAGATGGCACTTGCCTGTGTGAAAGTGCTGGTGTGCATTGTTGAGACTTGTATATGCAGAATAACTCTGTCAATAAGTGGTTTGGGGCCAGTTAAAAAGCCTATTCTCAACCTAGGGGAAAAGAAGAAGAACATTACTACATATACAGTCCACTAATCCTTGAAATTATATCAGCAGAGAATTTGAGCCAAAATATGGCTATCGTCCAAACAGCAACTATGGAAAATTGGAACCTTAATGGATCTGCTCCCTGTGTGTATTCAGAGTCACATCTGCTAATTCGAGTTAAAAGGGAAGAGACTGGCTTAATAATCATGAAATGATTTTTTAAAAATGTTCTTTGGTTATTACAATTTGCCTTGTAGTTTCTGAGCTTTTAGGGCATACGTGGGTCACATTTTAAAACTTTTCTCTGCAATCATAATGGCTAGGGAAAAAAAGCAAGCTGAGATTCTCACATCACCACAAGTTTACAAGAGCGAGTCTATCAAACACCAAATAGTGTGAAGTTGGCAACACAGTGTTTACTATATTTACTTCCATTTAGCACTGCTAGTAAAGAGAATGAACAGAATTGTTTTTGTGTTCATGCACTAAAAGAAGCTTTATTCATATTGTCAGATTCAAACAAATCCTTGCTTGACTCTGATTCCAGGTTGAGTTTGCAGTTAGAGGAAAATAAATGGAGTAAGTTTACACATGTCTTTGAATTACAGAGATGGAACTACATGACATCATTTTTTGTAGGGTCACTTTTCAAAGTGCAACCATATTTCCATCATATTACCTTCTTTCTTTATTTCATTAGATTCTCAGGGAGAGCTCACAACTCACTAACTGCGAGGCGAGGATTTATGTAGCTTGCTAAGATTCATTAAAAGTAATGTACACTACAGCCAGAAAATTAGGACTGAGTGCAAGGAGTTGTGAGGAGTGGAGAACAGACTTGCAAGTCCCCAGCAAAAGATGGTGGTTGAAGGAAAGGTGTAAAGCTAGAAGAGAAGGTGCCCAAGGAAAGAGCCCTGTTATTTCTCGTGGACTGTAGAAGAGAGGATGACAACATGCCAAAAAAGTTCTGAAGGAATGGTCAGGGAGTCTAACGCCTCCATCATAGCCCTCTAGTTTAGGGAAAACTGAGGACAGGTTGTGTGTAAGGACAGGCTGTCATAGGAGACAGTGGCTTCAGAGGCTGTCAGAAGGGGAGTGGGCTCCGGTGACCATGTATTACTCTGTGTTTGCACAGTGCCTAGCAGAGCAGGGCTCTACTCTTGGTTGGGCCCTAGGCCCTAATGTATTAAACATGATTAATAGGTGACTGCCAGGACATGGAGGGAATGGGAGATGAGCAGGTCGTGAACAGTTGAAGATCTCAGTGCACTTTGCAACAGCGGGTAGGTCACTATTCGCATATTACAGATGGGAAAACCAAGGCACAGAGAGGCTGAGTGACTTGCCTACCTTCACAAAGTGAAGGTGCAAACTCAGGACTAGAATCCCATGTCTCTTGACTCTGCAGCCTGTGCTAACCAGCAGGCGACAGTCTGAAACAGACCTTACCCAGAGGAGAGAATTTTAGAGAAAGAGTCAGTCCTGATAACTCGACCATCAACATCCATTGAGAGGAAGGTTGGAGCCCAAGGCTTGAAAGAAAAGAATGAGAGTTTAAAATTCAAGTAGCTAATAAGGCTTAAACCAAGGCTTTACTTATTACTAACCAAGACTTCAGTATTTCTTGACTCAAGGGGTGATGCATCATATGACAAAATCCAGGTTTTGGAGATGCACAACTAGTATCAAAGTCCAGTACCTGCCTGACAAATGATTGTTTAGAGTAGCACCCTATTGTGGTGTGATGATAGGGTCACCTGAATGTCAGGAAAGAGTCAATCAGAAATTCCTTTACCTCTAACCCCGCACAAATGCTAGGTGCTGGAGTTTCTACCTGGAACTATGATAGGAGGTCAGAGCCAAATACCCAGCTCTCTGTAAAAATACTTTTACTGAGTGGAGGGGAATATGTTCTTTAATGTTTTCCCTAAGAGGTGCTCCTCAGCTTGCAGTTTCCCTTTAGGAGAAACTGGAGGACATCCCTCAGAATTGGGGATTTGGTAAGATCACCCTCCTGAGTTCAGCACAGATTCTAATTCCCAGAGCAGAAGTTCGGCTACTATATTGACAATTTCTGCATGCCCACATGCTTATAAGAGTTCCATGCAGGCATTCAGTTCTGCTAGCCCAAGCAAACCAGACTCCTCCTCACCCCCAAAAGGAAGGGGAGAACCTTGTTACAGAAAGAAAAATATTAAACTGTACTCATTCCATCGACCTACTCAGCAGCCATTAGCTGCTAAGGGAGGGGTGTTACTCTCCGTAAAAGCTGATCATAATCCTGAAGTTATGTACTTAAGTGAGGGCCAGGTCACCGCCCCCACCCAGATCAATGTATGGAGGAGACCCTGCAAGTGTGGATCTGAGCACCCTCCCCCTCCCACTGTGTGTCAGGGAGGGTGGCAGTTGCCTTTGTGGCACTATTCTCCCTATTCCCATGACCAATCTCCATGGGTTGAGATCTGCACAAGGAGAAGGGGTGGAGGCAGGGTGGGCTGCATTGGATGAAGGCAGAGATTAGAAAGAAAAGGCAATACAGCCTGTATGACTTCTCCCATGCCTTGCATCCCATTCCCTCTACAATGGAATGCCCTTTTAAGGGGTATATCTGTATGTGCCTGAGGCAGCCTTGGCTTGGAGGCGTATCTGCTAGTACAGCCCCAATGGAGTCAACGGGAATTTTCCTCACTTAAAAACTGAAGAATTCAACGCACTGTAATTGACAAGGACTGATGCAACATGATGGCTGAAGAGGCATGTAATTAAAAATGTCATGACTGAGTGTTTACTAGTATGCTTTAATTTAATCTGACAATCTACTAAATACAAGTAGCATGTAGTTTGAGCCACAGTTGTCCAAGTATTAATTCTTTTCTGAACCCAAAGAAATATTGATACCAATCAGTACAAATGACAACTTACCTTATCAAACTGAAGAAAATAATAAGGATCATCTTCTATTACAAGGAAATTATACTGTCTTGCAAGCTAAAAAGAAAATTAAACCCCAAAATGTAAAGGTTTATTGAAATGTAATAAAAATAGTCCCTATGTAATCCCAGTTATTTATATTCATTGCCCTGTAAGATGCTCTGTATTCTGCTGATTCAGCACACACACATCACGTCAAGAGTTGCCTTCAAATGCTAAATTTACCAACTCATGTAACTGCAAAAGTATGTGAACTGGTAAAAATAGCAGCTCTAATTGGGCCAAATTTTGAAAAACTGAAGCCCGGGTTCCATGTGCAATAATGTGCCTATATTTGTGAGCATGGTTTGGACCGCTGCATGCAGAAAAATTATGTGTTTCTCACCTACCAGTTTGAATGGCAATTTTGGACACATTTGTATGCATGGACCTTAGATCTCATGCTTTTAAAACATGGCACTTTGAATATTTTCTCTAGCCAGGTGGTTACTTAGAATGTTAACTGATTTCTATGTAATTTTCTTAAATAAATAAATAAATAAATAAATGCACTGAGTGCAAGAGTTATATTATACATTTTCTTTTCTTGTTATAGAGAATCGCACTTCCAAAATAGGGAGTAGTAAAAACTACCCTGCATCTCTATCGGCATGTGATCCTGACAGCTACCTTCATTGTGTTGTCAATGAGCACATCTGCCTCCTGTGTCCCTTGCAGTTCTAAGGGTTGCTCCAACTTCTATCTCATTAGATAGAGTTGGTTTTTATCCTTGTCGAACACCTCCTTAGGCTTGTACCAGGGCCCAGTGAGTAAACATAACATATAAGTCAGCACAATGGTTGGTATGGCTACAAAGGACTATAATTTACTACACTATACTCACTAGATCACCCCAATCATGCAGGAAAACCAATAAGGGAAGACCTGGGAGAAGTGGCAGGGCACACAAGAGGTTGATATAGTAATGGGGCATGAGATTTTTAGCAACATTTGCTGTTCAGTTGCTTACAAAATGTGCTGGTTTTGCAGTGGAATTCCTCAAACTGAAAACCCTACATTTGTCCATTCCCTACATGAAAGTTGTGATGCCAGGCTCTCACTGCATACCTGATATATCTCCTTTTTGCGGTCAGTAGTCAATGAGGTTCCAGTGGGATTGCCACCATTTGGAATGGTGTACAGGAATTTGGGAATGTTGTTGTGCTTTCTGACATCTTCTGGGCTCCATCTGGAAAGAATTTCTTTCAGGGCTTTTGGAATAATACCGTATTGGTCACTGGGAACATTGATTATGTTGCAGCCCAAAGGTCTTAGCTGGGGGGGAGGGGAACAAACAAAATAGGAGACAAATCTCAGTCACTGAGTCTGTAATTCTGAAATTATGATTATGTCTCTGATGTTACAGAACTTCAGCAATGCAGTATCTGCCCTTAAATCTAGATTGAACTAGATAGTTATAAACGAGTTGCATTGATTTCAAACTTGCTTAGCTCATGATTCAAGGGAAAGTTTCTCTGAACACATTGTATAACCCTCAGAATGTAATTTAACTAGATCACCCTGTGCTCCCAATATTTAAAACCAGTTATATAGACTCTGATAAATCTTGGTTGGTCCAAGATAAACTATTACTACATGCCTGCCTATCAGGCACATGGCATCACATCTGAGGAGCCCAGGAGTTCGTTGTGGATTCTACTGCAGTGGGATCCCTCACATTTCAACACTCCAATGCAAAAATACAGATAAGCTTCAGGTCTCTCAACAGTGCAATAATCAGAAATGCAATTTCAGTTGAACTGACAGAACTATAACCTGCTCTGCCCTGACAAAGGGAGGAAGAATAACTGCTCTGAACGGGTATTATGTTCAGTAATGGGACTGAGATTTCAGTAATGTTAATGAGTGACATGGGACAATAGCGATGTGTGAAGTTATAGCAAAAATTAACAAAAGTCCCTGTAGTTTTATTTCTGTGGAATTTCTATTTTTGTGCTATTTAACCCTGTATTTATTAGGTTATAAATGAATTGCTGCTGAAACGACAATACCCTCAATATATGGGCCCATTGCATAATCAAAAGATATGTCAAAAATATAGTATACGAAACAATATTACCCAGATGTCAAGTGAAATATTGAGTGGTATAGGATTTATTCCAGCATTTCTCCCAATCTGTAACTATTAAGCATTAAAGGGCTGTATTTAATTGCACAGGGTGCATATTGATCCACAAAAACTAGTGTCATTTAAGTTACCTCTCTGACTTGCTCTCACATCCTGGGACCTCACCTACATACATGTTCCAGGCCCATCCCCATTTTATCCTACTATAGGCACAGAATACTAAATCAGGTCATTAAATCATGAAGAAAGAAGCGCACCATGAATCTAAAATAAGAGGAATCTTACTGATCATGCACTTGAATTTCATCTCATCTCTACTGTGATTCTCTATAGAAACCTAGCATTACGGTGAACTGGGCTCCAGAACAAAACATTGTGTCCTGGGACAAACATTTGCATTTACAATTGTATTAGTTCATCAATGCCAACCAATTTAAGTCAGAACAGGCTCAAAAACTCTAGTCTGGATGAGGTCTTAGATGCATTTAGCAATAGTGAGGCAGCCCATATGTCTTAATGTAGATTTGTGTCCCAAGGTGATGATCATTGTAACTTTCACAACTTTTCATACTGAAACACTACTCACAGCTGCTAGAGTCCCAGGATAGGTGGGTGCGTCCAAAAGGATATTGTCTCCAGGGTTAATAAGCATCTCAAACACCTACAAAATGGGAAGCATTTACTTTACAAGACTGTATGATTTTACTGGACATTCTGCATACTGCTGCCGGCTCTAATGGAACTACACATCCTAATTACATATTAGTGTTTCCATCACCATTAATTCAATGTAAACTCTGCTAGGTAAACAGTGAATGGATTTAAGTTCCACTTTGGAAGCCAAACAGAGAGATACAAGTCAGAGGAGAAGAATGCCAGTTTCAAACAGGACAACTCTGTCTTCTGGAAAAAAAGATACTGACATTTAACAATATTCTATCACAATACAAAAGTTTTTCAATTATAGAAAGGGTCAACTGTGTGTGTGTGTGTGTGTGTGTGTGTGTGAGAAAGAGAGAGAAGATCACCCAATTGAAAACCAACTTACTCAGAACAATATCTTCTTACAAAAATATCTTATTGCACAATAAAAACTACAGTACAGCAACCAACTCTAATTCGATTGCACCACTACATTCCACTACAGGATTCTTAAAATCATTTCCTATAGAATTATGAAAGTAAATGGAATAAAATGTCTTATGATATTCTCTCTTTCTTTCATAATAAAGCTCCTAGACATTTGTGTAGCCATGGAAGACCATTAGAATCTGACAAAGTTTTGTCCCAACTTCCATTTACTTTCTCAGATATGGTATTTAATATATCATTTCATTAATAAGCCACCCTTAACAACTGTAATCATAGAGTAGGCATGCCTTTCCTATACAAGGAAATAAAATTCAAGTGATTGAAAGCAAACATCTATTTAAAGCAACAATTAATTACATTTTACAGAAGCCACAATGTATTCTGCTTTTAGTCTTACTTTGGACAAGCCTTCCTGGCTGCCGGTGGTGACACATATCTCCATTTGGCCCTGATCAGGACTGTAGTTGGCAGTGGGAGGATTGTGGAGACTCTTCTGTAAATCCTTTAGCCAGGACAACAACTCAGGAATTCTGAAACACAGATTTTATTTTTCATCGTTATTATCCTGATATTTTGTACTGCTAGGGTGACCAGATGTCCCGATTTTGGGGTCTTTTTCTTATATAGGCTCCTATTACCCCCCACCCCATCCCGATTTTTCACATTTGCTGTCTGGTTGCCCTATGTTCTGCTCCTTTAAATCTCCTTCAAATCTAGCGTACATTGCTACCCAAATTGTATGATTCTCTTTCTCTGTTATTTAGCAATACAGATAGGTATAGGCACTGGCTTAAAATATTTTCTCTCAGATAATGAAATGAGAGAAACATAAGTGTGTGTGTGTGTTTGTTTGTTTACGATAAAAAGCCCTTAGGGACCAGTGTCTATAATACAATAAACAGTTGACAGCCTCTGCAGAGAGATTCTCAACAAAGGACTGAATGGGCACTGACGCTGAATTTCTGTCTCATGCATTGAGGTGATCCTTTCAGATCCAGGTATGGCAGGTGTGACTTGTATGGCCTCTGTCTGTAGCTAGAGGTGCGTGAATAAATGACTTTTTTTGTTTTAGTTTGCTGGCTGAACCAAAAAAGTTGAAAAAAATTTGTTTTGGCTCAAACAAATTTTCATTTTGTTTGAGTTTTTTGAACCTTTAAAACTAAAACTGAAGCAACATTTGAAACAAGAAGTTGTTTCAAATCAAAACATTTCATTTAAAAAATGTCAGTGAAACATTTTGATTTTTTTCAGAATTGTTTGTTTTTGACTGAAACAATTAAACAAATTCATACGATGTTTTAATTAACCCGAATCTATGCTTTGGGGGGGAGGGGAGGGGGGGAGTTTTGTTTAAAAATCTTTGCCCAACTCCACTTGTAGCACACTTTATGCAGACTAAGGGCCAGATTTTTAAAGGCATTTAGGTGCCTGAAGATGCAGATAGGTGCCTAGTGGGATTTTTAAAAGCACCTAGGTGCCTAACTCCCAGGCGCACACCTAGGTACTTTTGAAAATCCCACCAGGCACCTCTATGCATCTTACAGCACCTAAATACCTTTAAAAATGTGGCACTAACTCCCTACTGCATTCAATCTGGGCTGTTACACCAATACGAAATTGGGGGGCTGGGGGAAACAACACAAGTGGAAAAAAAGTGGTTGGCATCTGAAAATAAATCAAAACACTGAATGGATTTCAAGCTTTCCTGCTCAGTACAGCAGTGTTCTGAAGAGGCACTTGCAAATCTTGTGATGGTAGACACCATTTTAGCAAAGTAACATCACACAGTGGCACAGGGACCCCAATATAAAGGACCGTACATGAGTTTTCATTCTGCTCTGAAGAAGGACTTCAGTGTTAGGCAAAATAAAAAAATCTAGTGTTTTTAGAGCAAAACAATCTCATGACAGAAAAAACAGTTAAACAATATTTTTAAGCCAGGTATAAAATTTCTTATTATGATGTACCCATAACTGTTAGTATCCCAACTAGTCCCTTTTCAGCAAGACAACTGTCTCACAAGTACTAGCTTTATGTTTAACACTTTATCCAGGAGGCAACGTTAATAGAACACTGTCATTTCAGAGTAGTCCTCATATTAAATAAATAATGAACCAATACTGTTATTTTAACACCCCTACAGTGGATGCCACTAAAACAAGCCATGTTTCCTGCATGGTGATGTTTGAGTTTACTGTGATATCTGCAGTATTTCCTGTACTAACAGTGGCAAATATCATAGTTAATTTAACTACCCCAGACAATAAGTGGTGTTTTTTCAATGGTATAAACAGGAGCCAAATAAACCAGGATTTGGGGGGATATAAAGAAAATGCTTTGCAAGGCTGTTTACTTTGATATGCTGAATACTGTGCTGCAATACACTGGACACTGTCACAGTTACTGACCCTGGACTCAGGCCTCTCAAATATTATTTGATGTTAATCAATAAATATTGGTACTTGTCAATTCATTCCTCCACTCACAAATAATTAGTCACTTTTTCCACATATACAGACAGGGAAAATTATAAGCAATTAATAAAACATGTTTGTAAAGATCAATCATTAAAGCAGCAACTGTTATTTATTGTTATTCTTATAAAGTGTCTTCATAAGTACCCTGCTGAGGCAGAGTACTGGAGGGCTCTCTTCATCAAATCCTCCCCAATATTCACAGCAGTTCCATCTCCAGTGGTAATAGTGGCCATCTTAAATGGGAAAGTGTTGGGGTTCGGTGCCCCTCCAGCCAAGGAGATTAGTGATGGGGGAGACTTCTGCATCAATTCAGCTACAGTGAAAGATGAGGGAGAAAACTTCCATTACACATTAGCCTATTCAAGATATAACATTTCCCCTTACCCCATCCGTCCCTTCATTTCCTATAGAATATTTAAAGGGGACCTGCAAAGGAAAAGTTAATGCAGATTTGTGCTTGTTTGTACTCTTTGTTGGATAATGAAGTCTTTTTAGATATCAGGCATGCCAACATTTATCATTTATTTTCTTGGCTGACTCAAAAATACATTGTGAGCTTTCTTGGCATTAACTGAACAGGCATGGATGGTGAATCTTTAACAGATAGCTTTCCTTCCAGCTGTTTGAATTACATAGGGGTAAAATGAAAAGTTTTAAATAGTCTGAGTAAAAATTTCTTCCAACTCCTATTAATCAGGTTTTAATTGTTTGATATCTGTGATATCTCAATCCTGCTTATTCTCCAGTTTTCAGTAGTGTAATCCAGCAGAATGGGGTATGTAAGACCCAAATTTTTACTGGAAAAAGTGCAGGGAAAGTTACCTCCTCTTAAAATCAATCAATCTATAAACAGTTTTTTTACTCCAGTCTGGATTGCTTTTCTAATCATTAGAACAAGCTGTTTCTGTAACTATAATTAGTTTTTAAACTTTTAACACCTAATATCTTAATGCTATACTTTGTGGGGGAAAATGTTGACAACTCTTATTTTTGAAAGCAACACATTTAGTTTAGTTTGTTTACTGTTTACAAGACATACCACATAATGCTCCTGTTTATAAATTCAGAAGTTACCAAAATACCACTTGAAGCAGGTTAATAAAGAGTATCTAGTTCAGAGGTGGCCAACCTGTGGCTCCAGAGCCACATGCAGCTCTTCAGAAGTTAATATGCGGCTCCTTGTATAGGTACCGACTCCTGGGCTGGAGCTACAGGCACCAACTTTCCAATGTGCCGGGGGTGATCACTGCTCAACCCCTGGCTCTGCCCCCACTCCACTCCTCCTCACACCCTCCCCTCAGCCTGCAGTGCCCTCGCTCCTTCCTCCTTCTCCCCAGAGCCTCCTGCACATCATGAAACAGCTGATCGAGAGGTGTGGGGAGGGAGGGGGAAGTGCTGATTGGCAGGGCTGCCACTGGATGGGAGGCGCTGGGAGCGGGGTGGGGGAGCTGATGGGGGGCTGCTGACATATTACTGTGGATCTTTGGCAATGTACACTGGTAAATTCTGGCTCCTTTTCAGGCTCAGGTTGGCCACCCCGATCTAGAAAAACAAAGAAGATCTAAATTTTACCTGATGTCATGCACATAACGCACACTGAAGTGAAATGGCAACTGCCAGCCTACACCCCAGGGAAGAATTTGACCACAGTGAGGAGGTGATGGGATGTAGTCTAAAAGCAGTTACAAGAGGTGTATATTTTTAGGCTCTTATTTTGCAACCGTCTCCACGTAGGCCTCAGCTGGCAGTACAGGAGCACTTTTTCCTGCCATATGGAACAATCAGCTATCAACAGTAGCGTGTGTAGCAGTGGTTCTCAACCTTTCCAGACTACTGTACCCCTTTCAGGAGTCAGATATGTCTTGCATACCCCCAAGTTTCACCTCACTCAAAAACTACTTGCTTACAAAATCAGACATAAAAATAAAAAAGTGTCACAGCACATTATTACTGAAAAATTGCTTACTTTCTCATTTTGCCTGTATGAAATTTTAATCATAGAATCATGGAAGATTAGGGTTGAAAGAGACCTCAGGAGGTCATCTAGTCCAATCCCTTGCTCAAAGCAGGACCAATTCCCAACTAAATCATCCCAGCCAGGCCTTTGTCAAGCCGGGTTAAAAACCTCTAAGGATGGAGATTCCAGCACCTCCCTAGGTAACCCATTCCAGTGCTTCACCACCCTCCTAGTGAAATAGTGTTTCCTAATATCCAACCTAGACCTCCCCCACTACAACTTGAGACCATTGTTCCTTGTTATGTCATCTGCCACCACTGAGAACAGCCTAGCTCCATCCTCTTTGGAATTTGAAGGCTGCTGACTCATATCCAGCTTCTCATCCACTGTAATTCCCAGATCCTTTTCTGCAGAACTGCTGCTTAGCCAGTCGGTCCCCAGCCTGTAGCGGTGCATGGGATTCTTCTGTCCTAAGTGCAGGACTCTGCACTTGTTGAACCTCATCAGATTTCTTTTGGCCCAATCCTCCAATTTGTCTAGGTCACTCTGGACCCTATCCCTACCCTCCAGTGTATCTACCTCTCCCCCCAGCTTACTGTCATCTGTGAATTTGCTGAGGGTGCAATCCATCCCATCATCCAGACCATTAATAAAGGTGTGGAACAAAACCAGCCCCAGGACCGACCCTTGGGGCACTCTGCTTGATACCAGCTGCCAACTAGACATCGAGTCATTGATCGCTACCCATTGAGCCCAACAATCTAGCCAGCTTTCTATCCACCTTATAGTCCATTCAGCCAATCCATACTTTTTTAACTTGCTGGCAAGAATACTGTGGGAGATCATATCAGAAGCTTTGCTAAAGTCAAGATATATCACGTCCACTGCTTTCTCCATATCCACAGAGCCAGCTATCTCATCATAGAAGGCAATCAGGTTGGTCAGGCATGACTTGCCCTTGGTAAATCCATGTTGACTGTTCCTGATTACCTTCCTCTCCTCCAAGTGCTTCAAAATGGTTTCTTTGAGGACCTGCTCCATGATTTTTCCAGGGACTGAGGTGAGGCTGACTGGTCTGTAGTTCCCCAGGTTCTCCTTCTACCCTTTTTTAAAGATGAGCACTATATTTGCCTTTTTCCAATTGTCTGGGACCTCCCCTGATCACCACGAGTTTTCAAAGATAATGGCCAACGGCTCTGTAATCACATCAGCCAACTCCCTCAGCACCCTTGGATGCATTAGATCTGGATCCATGGACTTGTGCATGTCCAGATTTTCTAAATAGTTCTTAACCTGAGGGCTGCTCACCTTCTCCCCATACTGTGTTGCCCAGGACAGCAGTGTGGGAGCTGACCTTGTCTGTGAAGACAGAGGCAAAAAAAGCATTGAGTATTTCAGCTTTTTCCACATCATCTGTCACTAGGTTGCCTCTCCCATTCATTAAGGGTCCCACACTTTCCCTGACCTTTTTCTTGTTGCTAACATACCTGTAGAAACCCTTCTTGTTACTTTTCACATCCCTTGCTAGCTGCAACCCCAGTTGTGTTTTGGCCTTTCTGATTACACCCCTGCATGCTCGAGTCTCTACTGACTTCACTAGCACTTTTTATGTAGCCTGTTATAAAACTAGGCAAATATCTAGATGAGTTGATGTAGCCCCTGGAATACCTCTGTGTACCCTCAGGAGTATGCATACCCCTGGGTTGAGAACCACTGGTGTACAGTATGCATCTAGAGTCAGCTGCACAGAGTGGGGCAAGTAAGAAGCAGTAATGGAGTGAAACAGCCAAAGAAGTTGATAGGGTACAGGAGCTACTCAACATATCAATATGGCTGGTACGGTCTAGAGTAACTTACTAGAGTAAATGGTGGATTCTTTGTAACTTGAAGTCTTTAAATCATGATTTGAGGACTTCAATAATTCAGCTAGAGGTTATGGGCCTATTATAGGAGGGGGAGGGAAGGTTTCTTTGGCCTGCAATATGCAGGAGATCAGACTAGATGATCATGATGGTGCCTTAAGCCTTAGTCTTCTTCAAGTGACAGGCTAAGGCAATCAGAAATGTGAGGAAAGATGAGACTGACTTTCAGGAGGACTTCCTCTTGGATTCAATAATAGTCAATTATTGAATCCAAGAGGAAGTCCTCCTGAAGGTCAGTCTCATCTTTCCTAATAGTCAATTGGACCTGTACAACTAATAAAAATTCAGCAATAAAAATCACAGTTTAACAGCCACAACCCCAAAAGCAGGGGCATTGGCAGAAATATTTTCTGGCATGAATTTAAAAGAATTAAACAGTGTTACTATTTCCATTTCTTTTCGCTGTGTGGGGTGGTTTCCACTGGGTACAATGCATATTCATTTTATAGATCAAAGGCAAATTACCTCAGCTACCTCTGCCTGTATCCATTGAAAGCAAATAAGACACACAGCATATTTGTTAGCTATGTATGTATTAGCTTATAATTGCCCACAGTTTTCTCGTAAGCCTGCTCCGGTATTTATCTGCAGTGTCATGGCTGAGTTCAGAAGACAGGGCAATATGGTTTAGGAGCTGTCAGTGAGGGGTGGCCAGTGTGTACTCACTCAGAAGTCTTATTGGAGAGGCCTTTCTTGCTGCACTTACTGCAGTGATGAAATGAGAGTAATTCATGTCTATAAGACAAGCAGCAATTCAGATCATTAGTTAAACGGGACACAATGGGCTAGAAAAAGGAAGGAAAAAGGAAACATCACTTTTCAACATGGTTCATGACATTGGATTGTAAACACATAAAAAATATCCATCAGTAAAAAACTTCTCCAACATACAATCTAACTGTGCCATTTAGTAAGATAATTAAAGTGCGGGTATATCACATTGTTAAGCTCACAATTTAATCGAATTAAAATGAATTCCCTTCATATTGATTCAAAATAGCTTTTTTTAAATTTTCTTAATGAATGTTTAGATGGCTCTTATTTTGGGGAGCCCATTCACAAACAATGTATAGTGGTTTTGTGCTCTCTCTCTCACTCTTTTTGTTTCTGCTGTAGTAGTTAACCAGCACTGTTTTGAGAGCCGTATACATTTTTGAGGAACGTCAACAATTCTGATGCACACACACACAAAAGGAAGTACCGGTAAGTAGCAGCTCTATATTGGGTTTATTTAAAAGACAAGGAGGGGAAGGGGAAAATAAAATTGTCAAATGAAAATGGACAAAAAACAAACTTCACATTAGAGAATGAAATGCTATATTTCTAAGATAGTATACCACACAATGGAGAAAAGAATCTCTAAAGCATTTCAGGTTATTACATTAAATAATTATAGTACATACATTCCAGTTGTTCTGGGATTTATTCCTCTGGGGTCGAGTCCAGCACCCAATAATGTCACCAGAAAGACTCCAATTGATTTCAGTTAGATTTGGATCAAATCCTTGGATTTTAAGATTAGTGTAAATAGCCATGCCACATTTATCAGGATAATTTGGAGGTGTATGAGGGAACGAGATGAACTGAATACTTCGCATATGTCACTGGTCCCAAAAACCAAAATAACTGTAAAGCTTTTTCTTCTCTACATGAAATAGAATTTTAAAGACAAATTACGAGTGTAGAAGAGTGACAGATATGAAGCAATCAAGAGCTCTTTCTAATGAGAATCCAGCTTTGTTTTTTTAGTTGAATTAGGTATACCATTTAAGTTCTCTAACTTATGCAAGCCATCACAATGTGTCACAACACTTGTCTGACTAAGAGACAGAGATGTGGTTTAAATAATGCATAATTAAGAATGTATTTCAAAATGTTTCAAACTGATTTTTCGTTTGCCTCCAAAAGGACCTTACTACAGTAAACAATTTCCATCAGATGTAAAAGGCTGGAGGGAGGCAGGGAGGGAGAGAGAGACAGACACCCACCCATTCAGAATAGCCAATAGCCCAGTGATTAGGAAGCTCTCTCTCCCACTCTCCCTAGATGTTTTGTGAACAATTTCAAAAGGTTTTAGTTTTGTTCCAATGCAGAAAGAAAACAAATTCCAAAACTTCAATATTTTTCCTGGTTAGGAAATACCTATCTGTTCATAAAGTCAATTAGTAAGGATGGTGAAAGAAAAATTCACCTACTGGGCAAAAAATATGAAAAGTATTTTAAGTTTGGAGCAATCAAGTGTACATAGTTGTATTTATATTTTATAGATTACTAACACATAGCAATCAATGTCGCTTTAGTGAATGTCTTCCTATTTGTAATGTTATTTCTAACTGTTATTTGTATTTATATGAAAAACCCAATTAAAATATCCTTTCATTCTCAAACTGCAGGGTCTCCTACTGCAGTAGAAGAAAACCTCCAGTATGTCCTCTGTGCTTCTGCATGCCAAAGCTCTCCAGTGTAGCAACAGGCATTGTTTTTCATAATCATAGGCAGACTGAATTGTATCTAGAACTTAAGGAAAATATTACTATGGACGGGCCCAGTCTTACAACTTGCTGGGTCCTAATCTGTCAGAGAGGGGAAGAAACTGGGTAATATGTTATCTCATCTTACTGTCCCCCAGCTGGAATGGAATATTGTGTCAGTCTGAGCCTCTCTTGCATTGTTTGTGTTTATGGCTTACAAGAGACAGAACAGAACCAAGACCAAAGAGATAGGACACTGTGGTGGTCCTCAATGCTGGAAAAAAGAATTTTAGTATTCCTTAAAATTCTCAAACTTCCTGTCATCACCATGCAATTAAAAACTCCTGCTGCCGTATCAGACTACAAAAATCATCCTGGGAATAATGTGTGATGAGGTGCCTACCCCACAGAGGTGGTGAAAGGATTAATGTAGGTGAATTAACTCACCAGGCTGCACCGGGAGGTGGCTCAGGTGTAATTAAAAGATGAGGCCCAGTTGGGTGATGCTATAAAAAGAGGCAGTCTGGAGTAGGTGATGTTGTAGAGAAAAATACCATAGTTACCTTCTTAGTAGTACAGAGGTCTGTGAGGCATAGGAAGGCCCCTGTAAGGCAAAGAGGAAGCACTGAGTAGGAGGGTTTAACCTGGATCTCTCTGAAGAAGCCCTCATGTGTGTGTTGATTTTTACGAAGAGCCCAAGAAGGGACTGAGGAGATAGCACTTATACTAAGGCTTCTAAACTGGAGCTTGGCATAGTAAGTGGACCTGGGCTTACCTACCAGCTAGTGGGAAGGGGGTGTGAAGCTCTCTGATATAAGATGTTAAGAATAACTTATTGTCTGAAGAACATAGTGTAAGGCCCATGGGGCTCAGACCTGCAGCTAAGGATCAGATATAAGGATGCTGGATTGTCTGTTATCCTGGAAGGGGACTGGCTGGAAGGCCAAGCTACAAGAACAGGTAGAGCTGCTAGACCATCACCTGACCAGAATGACAGAGAGCTTCTGGAAAGGAAAGAGATACAATACTATTTCCAGGCATGGGGGGGGGGGAGGTCAGCAAGTAAGTCCATCTTCAACAGGTTGACATTTTTGTTTTTTTGAAAGCTGCTAGGATGATTGACATTCTTTTGATTCACTGAAAAAAATCCACCTGCAAACTTGATATCAAAAGCATGGTCCTAATTCTGCTCTCACTTCCACCAGTTTTCCAATAGTGTCATTTGTATTGATTTCAGTGAGGTATTCCTGGTTACACTAGTGTGAGACCAGAATCAGTCGCTGTATGTTCTAGAAAATATTTCAAATAGAAATGTATGTGGCTAGTGAAATAGACTCTTCCTGCAGGAGCTAGAATTCATCTTTCCTCAGGACAAAAATATCACCTTTGAAATACTAGTCCAACTGTATCTGACTGTTCAGTATTGCACCAGGAAAGAATACAAATCACTGTATCCAAGGAAGCAGGGTAGAATTCAGAAGTAAAATTAATGTTACTATCTAATTGCATGCAACTGCAGAAGCAAGTGTAAGTAGTACTAAGCCTGTCAGTAATAGAGTAAGTCAAAAGGTAGGTGAATTCGGATGGTGATGGTCCGATCAAATGCATGTTCTTAAGTTATTATAAACTGTTCAAGTTTCCTTCTTCTGGATTAAAATTTAATCCATATCTGGACTGATCCTAGTTCCACTCACCACCTCTGCAATGCATTACCCAGTAGGTAACTGACTGTATGACCTCTGTGTAAACATGTTACGTAGATTTCTGAGCTTGTAGTTGATTTTCTAGTTGACAATGCAGGCAGATGTTTTCTCTCTGAAACTGAACAGCACGGAACTGGTAACTCTTTATATTTCCCTCTGCAGGGACTAAGCCCTGCTGCCTGCAATGGATTTCAGTGCTCCGGCGTCTGGTTGTAACAAAGATGGGGGCGCAAAGCAGGGGATCCTTACCGGGCAGGAGACTTGGCTCCCGCGGGCAGGCCGTGGCGGGTCAGGCTGGAGGCTCGCTCAGGGGCTGTTTCGGAGAGCGCAGGCGCCAGCGTCCTTGGCCCTGCTGCGTACAGCGGCTCCTGCGGCGCTCACCCTCCGCCTCCTGCCCGTGTCTGTCCCGGCAGCAGCGCGAGCTCCGGCAGCGTCTAAGGCCGGAGGCCGGTGTGTAAGGTCGCGCCGGACAGCGGGACGCGGAGAGCAGCAGCCACTGCTCCGTCCCCACTAGCTCCGTGGCAGACGCGCGCACTGACCTTCCTCCCAGAGGCAGGAGCCACCCGCGGTCACGGGCCGCAGCACCTTCCCAGCTCGCGGGCAGCTGGGATCCCCGCTCCGCGCACAGGCTCGGGCCCGGATGCGGTCGGTGCAAGGTCGGCTTCAGCCGTGCTCCTGTGCAAACTGTAACGCGCCCTGGTGGGCATGTGCTGCTGAAGTGAAGCCCCGCTGAAGTCACAGCCCCCTGCTAAACGCCCACAGTGCTGCTGGCTGAGCGGGGTGGGAGGGACCAGGGAGGTCCCGGGGGCGGAGGGGTAGCTCAGTGGTTTGAGCATTGGCCTGCTAAACCCAGGGTATTGAGCTCAATCCTTGAGGGGGCTACTTAGGGAGCTGGGGCAAAATCAGTACTTGGTCCTGCTGGTGAAGGCAGGGGGCTGGACTCGATGACCTTTCAAGGCCCTTCTAATTCTAGGAGATAAAATAAATAAATTAATGGAGATATCCTATTTCATTTAGGGAGGTGGCAGTGAAAGTGCAGAGGGAGAGATCAGAGTTCAGGCCACGATTAAATAATAAAAAGACTAAAATTAGGTTCCTAGCTGTCTAGTCACCTTACTAAGAAGCCAGATCTTCTCTCCCTCTCCCTCCTCCCCCCCCCCAACAAACTCCAGAGGCACCAGTATCTCCTGTTGAGGGGTGCTCAGCACTTTGAAAAAACAGCTCAGGATTTGCCTAATTACAGGCATAAAATAAATGTCAGCACCAAAGTCTCAGTTTTGGACACTGGGGTGCCTAAGTCTCTTGAAAAAGGACTTGGGCTCCTAAGTTAATTTAGGTTTCAGGGTAGCAGCTGATAGTCTGTATCCGCAAAAAGAACAGGAGTACTTGTGGCACCTTAGAGACTAACAAATTTGAAAATGTCATCCATAGTGTAACTTTAGTTGCCTGTTTTTGAAAATCTTGGGTTTGGGTGTGGGTTTATGGGGGTGCTGAGTGGGCAGAGGGAAAGAGAGCTTCTTGGAAAGGGGAGTGGGGAAGTGTGTGGCCAAAGGGGTGATGGGTAGAAGAGATGCCACCCACACAGGTGGGAAAACCGAGACAGAAGCTGTATTGTGTAGCTGGTCCAACCTTGTTGTGCTTCTGCTAGGCATTCTAGATTCAGTCCAGGACCTGCGTCATTCAACATCTAAAACTGATGTGATAGGAAGTAATTGCCTTCTGAGTTTATTCTTGAAATATTTATACATATTTTTTATTTAATTCTTTAGCTATTGGCAGTTTTCTGCATTGTACTTTACAGACGGGGATAAAGCAAGGGCCCTGAGCTGAAGCACTTACATTATAACTTACAGATAATACCATGATAGTGTGTGTAAATATCACATCATACAGGAGGTGGGAAGAGGAGAGCATTTGGAGAGAAGGTTAAAGTGCTTAAAATTTGTTTGTGTTCTGCAGGGTAAAATGATTTGAGTTGTTTTAAATCCTACACAGGCTTTTTAGTAATGTGGGACTGTGAATGGGTTCCCCCTTCAGCTCTTAGGAGGGCTGGCTGGCCCTCTCTGAAAATTAAGCAACACACACAGTCCATCAACGTACCTCCACCAAGTGTCTTTGTTACTACTTATGCTCCAGGTACTTCACACTGTAACAGTAGTTCCATGGAGCCCCCTTCCTGCTCCCTGGCTCAGCCTTTCATGCTGCTTGTTTTCTTCTCAGAGCTACCCAGCTGTCAAACTAATTACTTCACTAGCTCATCAGGCACCCTACAGGTGCAAGAGCTCCCTTCTACCTTTCCAAATCCCAACTACAATAATTGCTTCCAGTGCCCTGGGTAATCCAAGTGACCAGGATGCTGGCTTTCAAAGGGCTCATTTTACAGCTGCCAACAGCACTCTGTCATAAGGGCAAAGGAGTGTAGAACACTATTGTAGTACTAACCATAATAGGTTGCCTGTTAGGAAGGATATGATGAAAGAAAAGTTTGCAATGCACATGTTTAGGCGCTTTGCTCAATCTGGGCCCAAGTGTAGAGCACAGCATTGAAAAGTGTGGCATCAAAGTGAGAGAGGACGTATGGGGCATGTAGTTGAGTGGAATGTAGGGTACATTATAGAGAAAGTTGGTAGGGTAGAAATGATAAAAGGGGGCATGACCTGGGGTGGGGCTACCTGAGTCATGGCCCTGCTACTTCTAAGCATAGGCAGTGAGTGGCTAGAACTAGAGAGGACTTAGCTGCCTCAAATCTGAACTACTCTGCCACCGTGTGCACAACCCAGCTTTGCAGGTGAAGCCCCATTCTGGTGGTACCAGTGTGAGTGGGGCCCAGCCATGGTGTTGCAGGCAGTGTCTGTCCCAAGTGCATCCAATGACTCAACCCTGGTACAGCAGTGGTGAGTCCATTCCTGGTACAGCAGTGGTGAGAGAGAGCAAGCAGGTGAGACAGAAGGAGAGGGGGAAGGGATGGTGGTGGTGGTACAGCCATTGGCACTGCCACACAGGTCTGCTTGCTCCCAGCCTTCCAACCCATCCCTCCCACAGCTCCTACACGCCTCCCTTCATTACCCCTCACACAGCCTCCACCTTTCCTTGCAGTGACCATTTTCCTAACAGTGCCATCTTCTCCTGACCCTTTTACTTACACATCCCCTTCTTATCTAGGTTACACAACTATAGCACTTCACAGCTGTCCTGGAATTTTTTGAATTGCACTCTGTAGCCCTGGCAGCAGGTGAACTCCTGAGGGCTCTCTTCATGGCTTTAACTTGACCACTTGAACAAGTGTTAAATGCACATCGCCTTGTCCACATTAGTCAGTTAACATGTTACCTAGACCAGGATTTGGAAGGTATTGAGGCCAGAAGGTGAAGATCAGAGTTTGACTGCAACATGGGGACAGCAAGCCAGAGGAGATTACCAGGATGCCTTTTTGGCTGTTTTTTTTTAATCTTTTTTTAAAGGGGACTTTATCAAGAATAGGTATTGTACAGTTTCATATCTGCCAAGTGTCTCCATGTAATTAATGCACGCAAAATGGAAAGTTTCTTTCCCAGACCTTTTTAATGTGCATTGGAGCAGAAAGAGTTTAGTTTGATTTGAGTGTTCGCAATGTTGTAATGAAAATCAATTTACCATTGACTTCAATTGGGCCAAGATTTCACCTAAAGTATTTTTGGGGAATAATGGATAAAAAGTGGTGATGCTGAGATGAGATTATGGAGTCCCAGATCAGAATTAATCTAGAAGCATACAGAATTTATGGAACTCTAGATTCAACAGGTGTGAGTTGGATTTCAACACAATTAAATCTGTCATCCTGTGTATAATCTTATTTCTAAACCTTTTGTGTTGTCCAAGGCACAATCTGAAACCCAATGAAGTCAGTGGAAAGACTCCCTCCTATGGTGTTTACAAACCCCTCACTGAGGCAGGGGAAAGGCTGGAGCGGTACTGGATGAGAAAGCTCTGTTCCTCTGTGATGGGGTTCCTGGGGTGAAATGTGAACACTGAGCCCACTGTCCCACCAACCTGGGGTATCCCCCTCACACTGGGGTGCTGTTGCTAAGTCACAAACCTCTGGCAGGTACTGCACTTACACAGACATCCACAGGCAGAGACACACCAAATTGAGTTACGTGAATGCTTTGCCAGCCACTCATGAGCCAAGAATAGAGGCTCCAGCAAATTCCCTACAGCTCCCCAGTTTTCCACCCCAGAACTGGACCATCTTACACTGGTCAGGCTTCTGACCAGGGCAAGTTCATTACCCAATCTGCCCTTCCCTCGATGCGGAGAGGGCACACACTAGCCTTTCTACACTGAACTGAGGTTTCCCAAGCACTTCAACCAAAAGACACTGTTTTAGGTAAAATATAAAACAGATATCTTAACTACAGAAATAGAGGTTTTTAAGTGATTATAAGTAGCGGGTGTACAGATCAAAGTTGGTTACCTAAGAAATAAAATAAATTCACAGCCTGAGTTCTACAAACTAAACAGGATTTGAATCAAGTATCAGAGGGGTAGCTGTGTTAATCTGAATCTGTAAAAAGCAACAGAGGGTCCTGTTTCAGGGTAGCAGCTGTGTTAGTCTGTATCCTCAAAAAGAACAGGAGTACTTGCGGCACCTTAGAGACTAACAAATTTATTAGAGCATAAGCTTCCGAAGAAGTGGGTTGTAGCCCACGA